CCAGCTATCACCATACCAAATTTCATCAAAATCCCTCAAGTGGTTTTTCTGTGATGCGGTAACAGACAGACATAAAATTCTAAAAACTATAGATTCGGCCTCTGTATCGATAATAATGTTTATTTCAATAAGATTTTCCAAAAAATATCTAATATACAGATTCGTCTTGGTTACAATTTTATTATATGTATAGATTTTGAAATGTGCATATATATGTATTTTTATTCACTAAGACTAAGAAGGCATATCCACTTTAGTTATTACGGTTTACGGTTAGGTTACCTTAGAAAGAGTAATTTAAAAGTCTATTAATATATGTATATACAATATTAGTTTTTCCTTGCGGGTTGTATCGCATGGTAAGCGCAGCCGGAAAAAAAATAAGTCCGTCTCATGGTGTAATCTACATACATATGTATTATGTATGTATATCTTTGTGTCATCGAAAGTTGTTCATCAATGAAGCATGAAAAATAACAGACTGAGTTACATTCAAATTTATTTATATTATAATATTGGTATGTTAATACAGAAGTATGAATTTATAAGGACTTTTGATAAGAAATATTAAATCTAATACACGTGTACATAATATGTATAAATCTGCGCACAGAAGGCAATATGCATGAATACTCTACATCTAAAATGCTCACATGCTCTGATAAGGTGAAACAAACGACGCAAAAGTAGTCACAGCACTATAATTTTTTACAAAAAATTTACATAAAATGTTCAAAAGAGAAATTATAATAACACAAAAGTATAAGACAAATAAAGATTCTTAATTGCTGCAATTTATTTTAGAAATGTCTAAAATGAAGTTTCATTATATACGTTCTAGAATTGTTAAGTAACATATTATTTTTGTGTTTTAACAGATTTCTAAAAGAAAGGTAGTGATATGTTTTTTTAGAAACGTTATAGCCAATTTGGTTCAATTTTATAAGCACTTTGATATATACATTGACAGTATTGACTCTACTATATATAGAGAATGCAATCTCGATCTCGCGAGATCCCGATCATCCGAGATCCCACCTCATTTTTCGAGATCAATCTCAAAGCATAAAATGACGAGATATAGGCCGAGATAGAAGAGATTGGGCGGCATCAGTCAGCATTTTTTAAATTGGTTTGTGTTTTTAAAAAAATTGGAAATAGCAATTTTTGTAAAAAAAAAAATTATCTTAGTTAAAATATGTACTTTCTTTATAAGAGATTTTACGGGTCAAAATTTTAGTGTTCATTAACATACCATAAGTAAAAAATTATAAAAATAAAGACTGTTTTTCAATAATTCATGTTGTATCATACTCACATCATAATCACAATTAGTTTCAATCATGTTTCAGTTATCTAATTAAAACAATACTTTTCGAAATCCATTCAAGATCTCGAAAATACCGAGATCTCGCCGCGATCGAATTTCTGATCTTTCGAGATCAATCTCATCTCGAGATTGTATTCCCTAACTATATATATTACAAGCAACTCACCCTAGCTCCGTTCGGGTTCGTCCCAAGTTATGTTTCGATGCTTAATAAATATTGATTGCTCCGAGATTAAATATATATATATATATATATATATATATATATATTTGCAATTATGTAATAAAATGAAGAGTATAAAAATGGTATGGTATGGTTTTGCATGGTAGTATCCTCGATTAACATTTTGGATACTTTTCATCCCGTAAAATTGAAGAGCTATATATAATTGAAAAAACCTATCGTAACTTATACAGCGTAGTACTCAAAAACTACTGATTGGATTTTAATGAAACTTTACAATAATATAGTTCCATACATCAGAATAACAAATAGGTAAATTTTTATCCTGAAACAATGTACGGTTCCAGTGGGATAGATTTGCATGTGTTTGTTTAGAGGCGAACCCGAGCGAACCGAGGGAGAGCTGCTAGTTAGATATATATATAAATAATTTTTAACTTTTCTATATTTTAAAATATAATTTTGTGAGTCATTTTTTAATTATTTTATTTAAAGCTGGGATAAGCAATATGAGATGTAGAGTGGTATATGGTGTGATTGAATTATTATTATTTTTATATATTTACATAAGGAAAAATAACTCATTTTTTTACAAAACGCAGCCACCTATGGGAAATTTTGTTAAGCATTATGTGCGTATTTGTGTGAAGTATTACTATCTCATAAAGAGTACCTACGTGTTTCCTCAGCTTTTCCACTAGATGTCTCAGTTTATATATTTTTGTAAGAAATAATTACCATGGCAATAACTCCTATTAATTATTGGCACAGTGGGGCATGTACAAAACTTGGACCACCTTTACTAGTCAAAGATCGCGAGTTCGATTCACTGAATGAATATTTATTTTGGTAATATAATTAATATACTCATTGCTGTGTATTAACTGGCAGAAAAGATTTAAGTGAATAGATATCTTCATTATCTACATCGAAAGATAATATGTGGCAAGCAAACAAATATCACAAGTGATAAATACAAACTATTCTGTACAATAGGATGGTCTCCGCAATGTCGTCGTTATAAAAAATCAATTAACAAATAACGCTAAGCGTTTCATTCTATATTCTACATTTAGAATTTAAAAGAGGAAGTGAAAAAATACTAAATTGTTTTTTTTTCTATTTTCAGTTGAAAAATATTCTTAAGATTAAAATATACAAAGATATTTTAGGAATAAAATAGTTCAACTGCTTTACTTTTATATTCAGTCAACTGTTTGAGGTTCTATCATATATCATACTAGAATTTCCCGCAGCTCCGCCCGCGTTCAGGTGACCAAAAACCAAATTCTTAGGTTTTACATATTAGTATACTCTTACATTGCAGTTTTTGTATTTTTTCTCAGAAATTAGATATTTTTCTGCGGTAAAAAGTAATCCCTCCAGTGGTTTTTCTGTGATGCGGTAACAGACAGACAGATTCGGCTTGGTTACCATTTTTTTATAAGTATGTATAGATAATAATCATAAATTATGTAACTGAAAGGTGAAAATTATAATAACTATAGTCCTTTAGACGACTTTTTCAATCATTGGTTTCTAAGTTAAAAGCTTCTAAATTCGTAAGCATAGTATACACGGGCCTCTTTTCAAACAACTTTAGAAGATGAAATACAAAATAAACAAATATAGATTCCATAATAAATTCTACGAAAATGGTTTTGGTAAAGATGCATTAAGTAGTTTTTAAGATATAGAATATTCGGTTGCACGCATCGTTACTTTAGCAGCGCGGTAATATTATTTACGTTGTACAATACACTTAGCTATATATAATACAAACATGTCTATCGTGACAAAATTTGTATTTTCGAAGGATAAATATTTTTGTTTTACTTTTAACTTAATTACTTATATGTTTTACATAGCAAAGATTCAATGTTAGTGATTACTTTCGACACATGACCGTATTTTTCTAAAAAAGTCAATTTTCTACATTTCGCAGAACTACAAGTTATTTTTTTTTAATATCTCAAATGCCAATGCCATATTTTCTTCTATTTGTTGTTTGGTACTATTATGTTAAGATAATACGATAGTTTTAAAAGAATCATTTATTTTGCTAATTAGCAAAACATGAAGTTTGCATTGTGTATTGATCTAGTGGCAAACCCTACTTTTCATCTCTACCTACATATATCAAATGGTTTTAGCTGTTGATTGTAATATCCTTTATTACAAAAAAGGGACGCTCAACTTAATTTTTCTATGATATGAAATTTACATACTCTCGTCCGAGGTTAATCCACCGAAGTTTTTAACTTTTCCGAGAAAATTGAAGTTACAAAATATGTTATGATTCATTTAATTAGGGTTAAAAATACTTTATATAAGTTATATTTAAATCACTTAGCACGAGAAATTTACTTAATAGCACAATGTAGTCTACACAAATTGGCACTTTGAACCGAGAATACAAAGAGTTACCGCTGGATAGAGCATGGAAGTTTATATAAAAATTTTATACTCTCCTTTTTTTATCTCACACAAAATCTTGCGTTTTTAGTAAAAGCTTATTTCGTATAAATATATTTTAAAAGCAAAATATAAGGAAATTTTCAGTCACAAAAACTAATAGGTACCTATATAATTAGTTAGTCCTTCCTCTACTTTTTTTCTTTTAAAAGATATTTTATTATTTAAAAAAAAATTTTTTGCACACAATCAATTTCAATATATAAAAACAAATAACATTTAACCTTGTCATTATTATTCAATAATAATAAATTAAATAAATTGTTTAATCTGACTTTTATTAGGTATTAATGTCTGACCTTCTTATAATATGTTTTATTTGGTATAAATGCAGCTCAATATTAATATTTGATTAATATTTATTATTTGTTTTAAACACAAATTTCAAATAATATATTGTGTATTTTATTTAAATATATTTTAGCTTCTGAATTTTGATGCAATAATTACGACAATGAATTAAAAATAATAAAGACACCGGTCACATGTAAATTGTAAACTTTAAAAATGTAGTATCCATATGCAGCAAATTGAATATTTTACTTTATTAAACTAAAACCGGAAGAAGGAACATACATAACGTATATAACGTATATAAATATTACATACAAATTGAATAAAAATTGGCAAATTTATATAAACTTTTTAAGCACATAAAAATAATATATTATAATCACCCTGCTTTAAAATATACAACGAGAGTATTTATCATAATATAGTGTACTAACCCTATGCTGTTGGTTGACCTAAATATCACCAGCAGCGGCACCTAACAAGCTGTCAGATTTCCATTTACTTCGGTGACAGCCTGCGATGAAATCCTCTCAACATTAAGAGCACTCTCGTTTCTAATTAGGGATTAATTGAATAAGGATGTGTCACCGCCTTTGTACTAGGAAGAGGCGGTGTATAACCTTAACTTTTTTATACGGCAAAAGTTTAACATTCGTCAAGCTTTTAAATCGAAGAGGCCCTTTTATAAGGTTTTTTTTTTTAAGTATTCGTTACGGAATGCGGTTCAGTTTGTCGCGAGCCACTGTCGGTGTCGCACGCGGCGCTATGTTCCGCGCGGTTTCAGTTGGCTGGAAGCGATATTGGTGGGGTACAGGTACGGAAGCAATTACGACATCCTCAATATATAAATTACGTGTTCCGATATCAAAATTTTAGCACTATTCACACATATTTGAGAAAATGTTTAATAACATATTTCTTTTATATTCTGCTCTTTACGTGCTTTTTATTTACGTGTTTGGAGGAAAACCGTTTAGTATTTTATTACACAGCGATAAAATTGTCAGTGATAAGTACAAATATTTATTTGTGACAGTATTATAGTGAAAAAAGAAATAGTATTTAGACCGGTATTTGGCAATACGTATAGTGAGAACTGTTAGAAGCATTGTATGGCTGAATGCCCTCGGGCCTAGACTATTTACGTTCGCACATCTTCGTGACGTCTTCGTACGATTTCCGACCACGTGGGCTCTTGACAGGTGGTACACAAAACTTTGCCACTCGGTCTCGATGACATTGAAAAAATTACGGCGTAACGGAAACAGATAGCGAACTACTCTCTCTTATCTTATCTTGATAAAGTAAGATCGCATGAATGAGTGGAGTAGTACAAGTAAAATAATCTCGTATAGTAGATTACTAATCTCTTCCTGTAAAAAACACTGAAGGCAAATTTAATAATTTAAAAGATAATATTTTAAATATTGGTTAACATAATTATGCAAAATTGAAACGTGTAAGTTTCAATATAACTATCATATAATGTAATAACCATTATTAGTTAGCAATAAAAACTTGAGTTACTTAATTGACGTCATGATAATAAAATGTAATTTTAAATATGTTATTATAATATTATGGTCGTGAATCGTAATACATCTCTCCCTTTTATATTTCCCGCTCTTACTCTTACTTCTTCAGACCCGAGGAACACGGGTTCGATTCCGTTTTCTCTATCCAGAACATGTTAAAGGAAAAAAATGTATTAAAATATTTTTAACAATAATAGAAATTATTAATATACTATATAAGTACACGTGTAACAGAGTCGTGCTGAGCGTCCTTTTAAATACACAGTTTTAGCTCTACCCGTGAAGCGAGAGTAAAAAAATAACATAAAAAAGAGTAATAAATCAAATTTTATCTACATGCATTATATATATATATTTTAAATACATGTATATACATATAATAAAATTCTAACTGAGTCGCATCTGTACATTAAATATTTTTTGGTAAATCTTATTGAGATAGTAATTATTATCGATACAAAGGCCGAATCTACAGTTTTTAAGAATTTTTATATGTCTGTCTGTCTATAACCGAGAACATATCACGAGAAAACCACTTTTTGATGAAATTTGATATGATGATAGCTGGTTATCCGGGTCAACATATACATATTATGGTATATACACATATATACTTTTTACTGCGTTAAAATATCTCATCTCTGAGAAATCTACACTAACATTTAAAACGTATCTATAACCTAATATATAATAACTATAAGATTCGAGATAAGAAGATCGCAGCACTAATGTATTGAATATTAATAGCACATTATATAAAAAGAAGTATCTATTTATGATACTCAGTAAATCATTTGCAATTTAGTTTTTATGATAACTTATATCTCAGGCCTATGCCCCTTCTAGGGCTCCGTAAGCGAAGGGTGCCAACGGGACCCTATAAATAAGCTTCCGCTGTCCGTTCGTCCGTCCGTTCGTTCGTATGTAGAGGGCTCTATCTCATGAACCGTTATTACGGTTAAAATTTCAACCTATTGGTAGAGAGTTGAAATGTTCACAGAGTTTGTATTTCTATTGGCCCTATAACAACAAATAATAAAAAAAAACACAAGAAACCTTTTTTAGCGTTCATAATCGATCATCGAAGTTAATATACTAGGTACAGCCATAGAGTAAAATTCATATTAATAAAAAAAGTACATGTACGGAATCCTTTGTGTGCGAATTCGACTCGCACTTGACCGATTTTTATAGTTTATTTACTTAACGAAGTAGTAACATTGAATTGATATTTTAATAATTTTATTATTTAAATTAAAATCTATTAAAAAGATCTAGAATACATATATTTTATTTACAATAAATGAAATTACATACATACTTAATTATATAAACAAATCAAATGTACACTTAATTATTACTGTACAACTAACAAGTCATGTCCGCGTGGAAAAATGGCAAGAATGCTAGCCGCGTTAATAAAACGATTAGGTACGATTATTTTTAAATATTATTGATGCCTTTGTAATTACTAGCGTTCGCATAGTGGTCGAAATTCAAATTATTTACTAACATTACTGAAAATTTAAGAACATATAATATGTACATATGAATATAATTTATAAAAAAAACTCTGATTCCAATTTTTTTTAATAATAACTTTAAAGCTCGTCAATACCTACTTAAAAAAAATCGATTGACAGAGGCGAAAAAGGTACTGACCTGTGGTCTTTGTATATTTACATATATGTATATTGTACATACATATATAGATTATAAGAATACTAATTACCAAGCAAGAGGCATGCATCTAGAGTACGAGTACATTACATGCACTCTACCCCTTCATAATTACGCCAAATCAATTGCATAATATCCATAATTACACTACCGTACAATTATAATTCCTACATATCATACCAGTATTGTATGTATACCTTATTATCTGTACATATAATAAAATTGTAACTAAGCCGAATCTGTACATAAAATATTTTTTCGAAAATCTTATTGAAATACACATTATTATCGATACAGAGACCGAATCTATACTTTTTACAATTTTTGTCTGTCTGTCTGTCTGTCTGTCTGTTACCGCATCACTGAAAAACCACTAGAGGGATTTTGATGAAATTTGGTATGGTGATAGCTGGTTATCGGGGTCAACATATAGGATACTTTTTACCGCGGGAAAAGTCTCATTTCTGAGAAAAAGTACAGAAACAAGAGTATACTAATATGTAAAACCTAAGAATTCGGTTTTCGGTCATCTGAACGCGGGCGGAGCCGCGGGCAATGCTAGTGATAGTATTATCCATAGGATTTTTTTTCTTAAATATTAATTTTTAAATTTTTGTAACTTTGATATTATCTACTCTGTATATGCATATGTATGTATATTTACATTAGTGGAAACTTTACTGGTTTGTTTAGTATTTTATTTTAGTTATATACCTACTTATGTTGTAAAATACTGTGTCTTACCCAAATAAAAAAAAATACTTATACATAAATAAAATTAAAATACTATCTCTGTTATGGTGTTTTATGGCATAATGTCAAAAAGGATGAATGACCTGATATCGATATACTGAGATAAATATTAAAAAAGAGATAAAATATCGATACCACAACAATCATTTATTTGTTTTATCTTTAGAGTTCAAAAGGTTTTATTGTGACTCGGTTGCGGGTACTAAGTTTAGCCATGAGTGACGTTATCTATTTTTCATTCCCATTACATTATGGTGTAGAGTTCTTTCAGGATATGCGTTAGGAGCTATTTAAATTTCGTATTCAGCCCTTTTTAATGTCCCACTGCTGGGCACGGGGTTCCCTTCAGTACGAGGGGAATCAGGCCATAGTCCACCACGCTGGCCAAGTGCGGGTTGGCGGACTTCACATGTCTGTTGAAAACTTGCTAGGTTCTCTCAGACATGCAGGTTTCCTCACAATGTTTTCCTTCACTGTTAAGACAAGTGGTAATCATGTTGGAAATGATTCGCACATGAAAATATCAGAGGTGCAAGACCCGGGATTTGAACTCGCTTTATTCGGTTTCCCAAGCGAGCGCTGATGAGATTACTTGATGATGACATATGAGAGTGGTCTCCTAATTTTTGAATAGCTACGTCAAAATTTATGATTCGATTTATATGTGGACTAAAATAGTTCCTACAAGATAACAAAAGAACGTGCTGCTTGCAGTTACATAAAATTGGGGATGATTATAATTTTTTTATTATGTAAAAAACTCAGGGAGCAAGGTCTCTGTGGTATAGATATTTAAATACTTTTTAGTTTTTACGAAGAAAATTTGTTTAATACTTAACCCGCGTGCGCTATTAAAGCTAGTGTAAAATAAAGTACTAGGGCAAAATTTTATAATATAATAAATCTTAAAAAAAAAACGAAAAATATATTTTTTTTTGATATCTTTGTTTTCGAGATATCTATTTTATAAAATGTCGGGAAAGCACACTATTTTATTAGCATTTGAGTTGTTCACTGCTTATTTATGTTGGCAGACGTAAAAAATACAAACTGTTATTTTGCACTTTATTTTATCGTATATGTAGTTCTCGTTACTCCTTCATTGTTCTTATTACACGAATACTACGACCACCGGGGTAATAATCATGGTCTATATTTCTACCTCGGAAGTCGCGTTTAAAACAATAATATATAATATATTACCTCAGACTAAAGAATTATATAGACGGAGTCCTCCCAAAAAATTGTCAAACTCAAAAGTAGTAGCGTTCGCTGTTTATGCAACAAATTCCGATGCTACCATAAAAATACGATATAATTTACAATTATTAAGAAGAAAATATAAATAAAAATGAGTAATTAAAATAATAAGCCCAATACCTTCTACCCCTTAAAAAAAGATAACAGTACCTACCTATAATATATTTTTTGCTTAACTAAAATAAAGCTATTTTTGTCTAATATATGTATGTATGTCAATGTTAATAGGAAGTAATTATTACAAAAGTTGCAAGTCAATGTCAAAACTTAACTCTTTATATTTCTTCTCGGATAACTTCTACTACAAAATAACAAACGTATGTGTAGGTCACCAGAATAGACTTTCTAAAGAAACCCGCAGATTTTCTTTTCAAAAATCTTTTCCAATTACTCATTTTTATGATTAAAAAAGCTCTGGTGCCTCAAGGTCCAAATCTAACGTTTTGAGAGCTATTAATGACAATAGGACACGAATAGAATGAAATAACATAGAAAATTCCCTACTACGACTCTTCTCGACTTTAACAAAAAAAACATTTTTACCAATAGATGACTACATAATACATACATAATATCATAAATCTAT